AGCCGTCCCATCGCCTGTCAATCTGCCACCCCCACCCCCTACCCCCTACACTTCAGCTCCACCCCCTACCACTTCCTCCCCCTAGTGTTGGCGAGCCCAATCCAATCTTTCAGCATTATTGTTTATTGCATTATTACTGCATCGCTGCAAATGCTGCTGCTGCTGCTGCTGCTGCAATTGCGCCAACTTCTGCATTATTCATTTGAGCTGACCATATTTTAGAATCGTAATTCTTTGATTCTTTTGACTGAGATTCACAGTGAAGCGGTCAAAGTGCATTGAACGTTTGTTCTAAGTAATGCACAAAATAAAGCAAAGCTAAAAAAAAGAAAAATACAAAAAAAAAAAAAACACAACAAGCACAATTCTCAAACTTGTAGTTAACTAATAATTTCATAATCTGCCATGCATAATGCATTTCTATGATTGTTTGTTCTATACGCCGACATGCTCATTGTCTGGTTTACGGTTTGCATCGACATACATTATACACTGGTAGACACAGCTAAGTTATTTATTATACACCTTACTACTCAATACTCTGAAAGTTTGAGCTCTTTCAAATAAAGTGTTCATTTGTGCAATTTCCAAAGAGAATAACATATTTAAATTATTTAAATAGGTCAACTGACAATAAACAATTAGAATATAATATTTGTGTAAAATCTATAAAAAAAAAATGATGAGTGTATTATAAAGTATTTCACAGGAACAATAGAAAAATAAAGATAGATTTTATAGTGATCTTTAAAAAAGTCTTCTAGAAAAACAAGTTTATTTTATATTTTGTACTTTATTTATATATATATATATGTGTATATAGATATATAGCAGTGGAATCCTAATGTCATTAAGGGTATTCAGTCACTGAATAAGCATTTTCATCGTGTTACTCGCAATGGGATAAATTGCCAGTCAATTCAACAAATACGAAATTCAATGATGATTGAGTAAAAAAGCATTGTTGCTTACCTGTATTATGTTGTGTGGAATCAGTGTGCAGTAACACAGTGAGATGTCTGAGATAAAAGAAAAGCATAGAAAATACAAGAAAAGAAAACAAAGAAAAGAAAAGAAAAAAGAAGTAGAAGAAAATCTGACAACTGGCCAACTAGCAAGCTCAGACTCGTGAGTGCCCAGACTGACTGGTCGGAATTTGAGTTTGGGTTTGAGTTTAAGTTTGAGCTTAGGCCTCGGACGCTGCCAACTGCAGCAGTTCAGCGGTCTGGGCCAAGACTTGGCTCGGGCTTAAAGGCGTTTGCCATTGTCATTGTGTCTTTGTTTTTTTTTTTTTTTCTAGTTTGTTTGTTTGGTTTGTCAGTCTTTGTTTCGTGGCATTTACGAGTGCAATTGCAATTGCTTGAATATTATTGTAGACTGGTTTTCGAGCAATCGGTGCATTCACCTCGCTAGCCTGAAAGCAACCCCCCAAAAAAAGAAAAATAAAAATAAACTGTGGCAAGAGATGAGAAACAGCTGAAACACACCTGACTTTGTGGTCCGCTCAGTTGTGCACTTATTTATTTATTATGAGCAGCAGTTGGCCAAAACGCGGCCTAAAGTCAGCGACCAGCGGCAGCTGCTGCTTCTGCTTCTGGCCAGAACCTTAACACATGGTGGTGCCACGAGCTAGGGGCAAGAACAGCTCCTACCTACCTGTGCCACAAAGTGGATGTTATGCATGTGTGTGTGTGTGTGTGTGTGTGTTTTGTGGATGGCATTCACTCTTCTTGCCACTTATAGGCACCGGCTGCTTAGTTTCCCATAACAGTTTCGACTTTGTTTTTGAGTTGTAAACAAGACTACGCCTCTCTCTCTCTCTCTCTCTCTCTCTCTCTCTCCCTCTCTTTCTCGCTTTGTCTGTTACATTCTCGCTGTGTGATTAGGCCATGCAAATGTGAGGCAATAAAGTTAGCCAAGTTATGACTGCAAATCACGTCAGCTGCGCCAAAAAACGAACACGTGGCGACCTACTATGCAAAAACCCCTTACTCTCGCAGCTCACCCCCCACCCGCCCTTCCACCTTATGAACTCATCGTACTTAGTTTTCGCAAAAAAATACAATTTATATATATATATATTTCCATAGTAATTGCGGCTTGACATGAAACAACACACAGTGCAGCAACAACAAAAAACAATAACTAAATATACAACAAAAGCAATTTGCTTTGTTCATCAAGAAAATCAGAAAACAAAAAACAAAAAAGAAAGGAGAAAATATAAATTCAAGTAAAAAAAAAGAAGGAAAATGCCAAAAATATTTGGGGTAACTCGTCAGTTGGCGATAACAAACAACCAACTTGTTACCACACACACACACGCACACCTACAACAACACCAGCAACCCCCCCTCACCCCACGTGCCCCCAACCCCCTCTATACTAAACGCTGCGCTTATTATGCGCCAACAAAAACAGAGTTATGAATAAATAAATATTGTAAATGGTAAATCGTGACTGCCTATCATTGTAAGGCCAAATACGCCCCAAACCCTCAACAATTTACACCCCACCCCAACCACCCACCCTCTCAACTCCATCGTTGCCAACACACGCATGTGTAGTTAGTCAAGGATAAATGATATATGCATGGATGGGTGAAGGTGGGTGTGGGGATGGCGGTACTCAGAATTTCTGACATGCAAATTGCATTTCTTGTCATTTAATATTCGCTTGTTTGATCAATTTTTATGACAAATTATCGAAACCAAATGCAAACAAACTTATTTACAAATTGACAGCAAGGGGCACATTGGTGGGTTGCGGGTAATTTGACTTAAATATGTTTCACGAATATATATATATATATATATATATATATTTGTGTACATACTGCATTCTCTGTCTCATTGAGACTGCTGTCCTGCTGAACTGCAGTCGAGCGTTAAGTGAGCACACTTCCTGGCACTGGCCAACAAGCATTCCATCGATTGGCCAACTAATGAACGTTACTTACTCTTCCAAAAACAGCCCAGTCAATTGCTTAGTCCAGTCGCGTTTATGCCCCTAATACCTCAATCCTCTGGACTCTGGCAAAAAGTGCAAGTTGCTGAGACAGCAAAAAAGTTCCTGAAAAGATATGAAATAAATAAAAAGAGTTGAAGCACAAGCTTTGATGACCAGCTGATATCCTGTAACATTTTGCAAGTCTACAATTAGTTTGCAAATAGGATAAGGAATGCGAGAGTAAAATAAACTAAAAAAAACTAAAACTAATTCAACAATGAAAATTTGTATATTATGTTTATGCAAGATCTTAAATCTAAATCTATAAAAAAATTATAAATTTTATTTCTTAGCTTAGAATTAACATTTTTAAAAAATGTATACAATAATGGAATATGCTGTAAAAAAGGCTAAAAAATTAAAAATTAATCCGTCTCTCTTATAAAGTATTTTCCAGTTAAAAAATCTCCACAGATTAATTTCGACTGTTCAAGTCTAGTTCCAGTTTAATTTTTATATTATTCTTATCTATTGTAAAGCAATCGCCATCTAAACGAATTAAATCAATTCATACTAATAAATACTAGTCAAATTTATAGAAGTTCACTATAGCTGGCTTACAATTACAGGGTATATGCACACCACAAAAACAAAAAAAGAAACGAAACCAAAGACAGCACTCAGTTAGTATGTTCGTGGGCAGTCTCGAGACTCGAAAACTAACTCACATGTGAGCCAAGTGAATGAAGTTTCGAGTGCTGTTGTTTTTGCTTTGTATCGGCTTGCCACTGGCCTGGGTCTGGCCTGGGACTGGCCTGAGCCTGTCTAGCGGCAACACTCCCAGTCTCACTTGGTGGGTTTTCGGTTCAGTTTCGAATCCAGTTCGCCACATCGTTCAAATTCCTGGCTGTCGTCGTTGTCTGCATCGTTGTCGTTGTCGCTGTCTGATGTGAGGTTAGGTTTAGTTAGTGTTGCATAATCGGAAAACTGTGTCAAGTCGCGTCGTTTTCTAAAAATGGCAAAATGATTTGTTCACATTTTCTTGTGTCAACTTTTGCTTTTGTGATTCAGTTGAGATTTGAGAAAGTGGATGAGCACCTGCTCTCTATAAAAGTTTGTAGCGCACGTGATTTATTGTCAACATATACCCTGTGGCCATGCAAAACTAGTAACACAACTATTATTAAGTTGTAGAAATAGTAACGGTGTTAAAAGCCAGAAGAAGAAATATCTGCAAGGCTATGCATAATGTTAAACAATACGAATCGAAAAGTGTTTGATTGTAATACACATTTGATTACAGGGTATTCTATAGTCCAGCACTCTCGACTTGTGGCAGGATCCCATTCTGACGCATTCGCTTTCATGTTTCAAGTATTCTGCTCCCAGGTTCCAAGTTGTCCAATTGTGCCAGTTAACAGCGACTGCTGTAAAATGGAAATGTAGCGCGCAGCGTATTAGAAGTGGTAGGCGGCGCTCTTAGCTAGTTGGAATCCATAAGAGCACTGGCAGTCGCCGCTCTTAGAATCCACAGTGCGTGCTCTTCGGTTTGCGAAGTGCGAAACCAAAACAAATGTGATGAAAAGGCTGGCAACGATGTCTGGGATCCCGGTGCCGATGCTTGTTGCCGAGCCGAACCATTTACCGCTACGCTTCGCTACGTCCAACGAACCGAAGAGCGAATGGCACGAGAGCATATGCTAAGAGCCGATTGCCAAGCAACCAGTCATTGTTTGTGCAGCCAACGTTCCGTAGCGAGGCCTAACAGAGCGCTGTTAGCCGCTAACAGTGTGTGAATATCAACCGGGCGCTCTATGAATAACAACAAAGAGAGGGAGAGAGAGAGAGAGAGAAAGAGACCCGATGTGTAAGGTAGCCGAGTCGCAGTTAAGTTCAGACCGCGACAGTTTTTGGTTCGGGCCAGTCAGTCTAATGTCAGAAACGCAGTTAGCTGCTCGTCGTGCGCAAGTTTCAAACAATCTGAAGGCACAGCTAATATAACTATCACTACAACAAAAACAACAATAGCCACTATAAATACAACTACAACAACAACCGAGAAGCGTCGTTAGTTAATACTTGAGGCACTATATAATTACAAAATACGCAAATTCACATACTACACTTTCAAATTTTTGCCTATCGCATTTCCAAAGCTTAACAATCATTAATTAAGAAAAAAAAAATAATAATAATAAATAAATAAAAATTCGCAACAATAATAAAACAATTGCAAGAGCGGAAATCGTTTGTGTAATAAGTGCAATAGATATATTTTAATGGATTTTGTATCTAAACATTTTAATTGCACACCACACAATAAAACGAACAAAGAAAAGTTAATTGTTTATCAAATCAAAAACAACAAAAACAACGAAATTGAGGTGTACACTTACAAGCAACAACAATGGACAACAATCGACAACACTTGACAACAACAACAGCAACAACAACAACACCAACAACGTCTAAAATTACCGATCGAAAAGTGATTTCAGTTCGAGCTACTTTATTGTATCTATCAGATACAAAAATGAGTCACGAGCAAAGTTCAGCTAACAACTGACAACGCCAGCAGAAACAAAACTGAGCAACAAACTCAACAATATTAACAATAACAACCAAAACAAAAAAAGTTAAGACCTAGAAACTAGGTTAAATGGAAAGCAATTCTACAAAATAATATGGCCCATAAAACAGGCCACAAATTATTTGCGAACTTCTCCAAAAACAATATTGTCAAAATAAATATTTGGTTATTCAAATTCCCTTCAGCAAATGAAGAACATTTCAACAAGAATTGGAAGTTGAAAATACTTGGAATTCCCTTCGAAAAGCAGAACACGATTCTTGTACAACAATTTATTTAAAGAATTTGGCCAAACTGAAATTTGACATCCAGGGTTCTCTAATTAAAATTCTGGAAATTCTGAATCTGAAAATGTAATTTATTACAATATTTTTTGCTTCCCAGCTCGTAAAAGTGTTTTTGCATTAAAAGATTTTTTGAAATTCTAGCGAGTTTTGAACTAATTATTTATGCAATTAATATTCTGCAAATAAAATTAGTTTTGATTAATATATTTTCATAATATATATCATGTTAATAAATGCATTAAAACTCACTTGATTTAAGAGGATCTAAGTTTTTTCCATAAAAATTCTCAAAGCGAAATAAGTTCAAACAATTCGATCATGTCAAGCTTAGATCGATGTACATTTATATTTTTTCAGTAACAATATAAATAAGTTATTGGAGTTTAGTTAACAATTCTTCGCTCACCTAAGAGATATAACTAAATATTATTTGTCAAATCTTAGTTAAAAGTTTCGTCTTTTACAAAGTTAATCTTTGTATCAAAGAAAACTAAGAAAAAACATTCAAAATAATATACTTCTTCCATAGGGATTACATTCCAGTAAAATTTCAATTTGGAAAATTCCTACACGTATTTCAAGTTCGCTGCAGCTTTCTACATCGTTTGCTGTGCTTTTATTTTTATTTTTTTGCCAATCTGTTAAGTTTTGCCACAAATCTTACACGTGGATGCGCGAAGCATTTTCCCATTACGGCTGCAGCTGCAGCCACAGATTGAAATTTCAGTTCACTTAAGTTTCGGGCTAAAGTGCACTGCAAGAAAAATTGGCGAAACGTGCTAACAAAAACAAGAAAGAGAGAATATCGCGTGAAAAGCTGGCAAAAGTCTCGTGTTAATAAATATTAAAACAAAAAAGCGAAATACGTTTTTTTTCCATTTAATTGAGAGGGCCTGAGTGCGTGCCGGAAGGGAATCGGCAACATAAATTGGCCAACACAGAAACCCATTGCACAATTTGGGGGTCTTCATTAAAAGCGGCAGCAATTAGCCGCAAATTGAATTATGGATGTGGCCCTGCCACAAAACTATTTCATTTGGCGCCAAATGTTAACTTACAACAAAATTGGTATAAACTTTTTGTGTATCAGCGAAAGAAGTGGAGAAAGATGTTGCTGTTGAACTCGAATGTCGAATGTCGAAGTTGTTGTTGTTGTTCATGTTGTTGTTGTTGTTGTTGTTGTTGTTAGCTTGTATGGCTTTATTTATTTTAGCCAAGTTCAAACCGCCAGTTGCCGGCTAGTTCTTGGCCAGCCATCCATTTCCATTTCCATTTTTTCTGTTCTCTGTTTCTGTTTCTGTTTCTGTTTCTGTTCTGCGCTAAACTTTTATTTTATGCTATTGCGTTTTCGACGGCTCTTCGTGCGCTTTAGGCCAGATCTTGTTGGCCCAGCTATATACATATGTCTCCCAGCTCCAACTCCAACTCCAACTCCAGCTCCAACTTCTACTCCAACTCCAGCTCAACTTACCTTACTTTACGATTATTTCCGCTGAAACGTTGCGCACTGCCGACTGCCAACTGCCGATTGCCACTTACTTTGAACTTTGTGCCACAGCCTAAAGGTCGCTAGCCAGCTGTTTGTCATACCCTCATCCGCTCCCCCTCCCCGCCTCTCCACTCATCTTCTTTCTTTTTGTTCTTTTGTTTTTTTTTTTTTTTTGGGCGTGTGAAAGTCTGCGTTGGCCATATGGAGCTATAAGGGGCTGTGTGGTGTTGGCCAAGGATTTCCCACACCCGCAAAATTGTTCACATTGCTGGCAAATTGTATCAATTCTGTGTGTGTTGTTTGCCCCTTCTTGCCACAGCCGGCATGGGGAACCGGTTCTCTTTTAGCTCTTTTAGCCGCATAGCATAAATCAGCGCCAGCACTGTGACCACAACTAACTGGTTTATTTGTTTATGGCCAAGTCATGTCTGTAGTTACTACATATATATATATCTATATGTATATATATATATTTATTTATACATATATTTTTGTACATGTCTATGCAAGGCGCTTGTTCCGTTCTGTTTGCATTAAATCTCTTAATGTGCTAACGACATTCTCGGCGCCCACATAATCATTGACAAACATATATTGATGGCACCGCCACCCAGCATCTTATTAATTATATGTATTGCTCGCTCCCCCACCCACCCCCTCACACCCCCACTCCATTCCCTCTGTGTCTGTGTGTGTGTGTGCGTGCAGTTAATTGTTGAGAAGCCACAGTTGTTCAATACTGTTTTTAATATACAGAAACTAAACTACAAATTGCAAATTGCTCGTAACAATTACAAAAAATACATACATTTAAAAAAAAAAGAAGAAAAACAAATAAATAAAATATTTTTAAGTGGGCGTGCAAGCAATTTTTGAAATGTGCCGTAACCGAAATAACAACAACAATTTCAATTGCAGTGCAGCCAAAAAGTAAAACAACAACAGCAACAACAACAGTCAAAACCAGTTAAAAGTGACAGGCAAACCAATTAAAACAATTTTAACAGCACCGTTACAAAAACGAAAAGAAAAAAAAACAAACAAAAAACAAACAAATCAATAAAATACACAAAAAACATCAATCTATCTGCATAAGTAAATTGTAAAGCGATTTAACTCGATTGGAAAACCATTTAAAGTGCACACCAGAAATTAGGATAAAGCGGATCAGCCGAGCAAAGTACAAGATAAAAGGAGCACAACAAGAGACAGACTGAAAAACAGAGAGCGAGAGAGAGAGAGATCCTATAAAAATGGTAAATTAATAGATGTAATTTCTCTTTCATTTACACACCCTACGCTTTGCACTTGACCCACTAATTATACAAAGAAGCAGATATACAAATAAAAAAATAAATAAATATAAGAAGAAAACAATATCGAGAGTGTGGGCTGGCTGCTTATCAGGCAAAGCCTCCGTCCGACCCATTACATAATGTTTTATGGCGACGACGTGACGATAAAAGCGAATAGCAATACACAAAAACTAAACAACAACTCGTTGCTGGGAACTGCAAAATGTTTACTCCATAACTCAACTTATTCCGCATTGAAGGTTGCTAGTTGCTAATGCTTCAACTTGTATTCTTCATTATTATATTATTATTGCTATAAATAAAATATAATTATTTATCCAATGTTTAAATCATAATTCTTAGAAAAACAAAAGATTTGACTTTGATATAAAGTTCTTATCCGATACAAAACTTAAGTATCATTATAGTTATTATCCCTGTCCAGATATACAGTGATTAGAACTGAAAGAATGACATCAATTTTTAAATATTACTTAATATAGATTTTTATACAATGGATTAATATTATGGCATCTAAAGAAAAGAGTCAACATAATATGAAGTAAGGACTTATCCTTGGTTAGAATATATTTCTGCTAGCTAAAAAAGAAAAGCAAAGTTTAAATAATAATTTTCAGTTGTACTGTATTTTGATAAAAATAGAATTACGTATTGACTTTAAAAAGAACAACGTAAATAAATAATCATAACTATAATTATCTTGAGCTTAAATCATAACTAAAGATAAAAGAAAAATGTTGATTATGGATATTAAAATATTGGATTGTTAAATTAGCAGTAAATTGATAGGTTTCAGCATATAATGAGTATAATCACAAGTTGTATTGTAAAATGTATTTCATAAAATTGCATAAAAATTATAGGCAATATAAACAAGCTATATGTATGCCATGCATAATAGGAATAGTGTGGAATTTGTAACCGGAACAAGTCGGTTTTTGTGCTTGGTTTATGGCGACTGATAAAATGAACTACAACTTAAATACATACGTGCATACATACTTACATACCTACATACATACATAAATGAACATGTGCAATGCGAACAATTCAATTAAAAGCGCCTAGAAAATGCCAGCGATAAGAAAAATGCCAAACAAGAGAAAGAGACAGAGACAGAGACAGAGAGAGAAATAGAGAGAGAGAGAGAGATAGAGAGATATTCGAATTAGAAAACAATGAGAGAAAGAGAGAGTTGGTGAGAAGTGGGCTGTTGCGTATCTTAAGTCGCTACCTGGCGAAGCAAATAGACGAGTCATAAAATATTTATCAATCCAAAAATAAATAGAAAACTTTTCAAGTCGCTTGCTGTTGTTGGCGCCTGGTAATCAGAGCTGCGGCTGCATTGATTCAACGACTACCGTTTACC